AGACAGACGGCTAGGACACCCAGGGAAGTCCAAATGGCAAAAGACCAAGCTCTCTGTGTCCACTTGGGTTTGGGTTTCCCAAGTTCATTTGAACATAGCACATGGATCTTATTTATAGGAATGGGTTCTCATGCCATAGAGGCACAGAGAGTCTAGCAATCTTTACTTGTTGAAGTAATTTTCATTCTTTCCCTTCTTCACCAAGATTCACTGGCCTCCTGCTGTGTGCTCATCTCTGTTTTGGGGTGCTGAATAAACCAACAAAAGCAGAGAAGGGTGGGGATGGGGGAGCCCAGCTTCCAAATGCTCATGGGGGGAAGGACAACCAGGTGATGCTTCAGTGAGGTGTGTGAGGGGAGCTACACAGAATTGTGACTCCTGAATTTTGAGAGCTTTCTAAACAAAACATAAATAACAGATCACCTTCTGGTCACGATGAAAAAGACTTTCATAAAGTCTTGATAACAAATTGCAGGTAGATTACATCCTGCATTGTCTGCCTTTTTGATGTGGTGAAGTAAAGCATATAAATATGTATATAAATAAATTACCTCAGCAGGAAAATTATGCTGGCTTTGATAACGCTAAACCTCAAAAATATAGAATTACTGAGGAGGATGCCAGGGTTTTTGAAGATGTCTGGTATGTTTTATACTTTTGAAAAGTGTGTCATTTAATCTGCCCAGGGCACAGTTCTAAAAATAAATCAACTACCATTATCTATCCATCTTCCATGGTGTGATATCCTCACCAACCTGGATCACTGCTTCAGAGGAGCAATGAGAGTCAAAACATTTCACCTTGGGAGAAGACATACTTTGAGGAACAGTATAAAATGCCCATTGGCTTACATAAATATCCAAATCATTAAATACACAGTATGAATCACCCATACATACATTTCTTGCGTCTTCCACAGAAATGCTGCTTTTGTGGGAGCCTGAGGTTGGAGCCGCCATCATGTAGGTTTTGGCTCACCAGCTCCTGCTTCCTGGTGACCATCAGGACCTCGTTCACCCTGGGAGCCTGGGGCTCTGTGGATCTCTTGTACAGCACATGGGAGGGAGGGCCACCCTGGGCAGAGCCACTCAGTTTCCCTGCTTGGTGTGCAGGAATTGGCTTTAGGAAGTAGTCTGCGTCCTCTGTCCTTATCATGCCTGACTAGAAAAGCAAGGAGGGAGAGAGAAAATGCAATTATACTCTAGTTGAGACATGGCCTAGTCTCCTTTCTTATCAATCTTTTATAAGCATGCTGCACTCTCCAGTGGGAGCACAGGTAGGAAGGACTCAAAAACATGGATGGAGAATGAGGAATGGGAAGGTCGGTCCCCACTGCCTTGGCTCTTTCTTTCCTCTATGTCCTTCCAGAGAATGGGTGCAGAGCACATTTGTGACTTGACTCAGACACAGAGAGAGAGCTCACAACGCACAGAGAGAGGGCTCAGAAGACACCAAAGGCAGGTAAGTTGAACCAAAATTATTAGAGTTTTAAGAAAACATATGCACAGAGTTAGATGTTAATATTGGTGAGCCGTCTTAGAGAAAACTATCCTGATAGAGCAATTTGCAAAACTCATCAAATGAATTTTAAAACTTGTGATGCTTTCCAGAAGAGTGTAACTTAAAAAATTAACCCAGAATAAATCATGAAAGAATTTACTTAGGACATCAGGAAGATCTTCCTAAATGAGCTATTAGAGGAAATAAGAAATAAGTGACTTAATAAAACTAAAAAAGTCTATATAGCAAACCAATAAGATAAATAAGCAACATTTTAATATATCGTAAGGTGCCAGGCTCCAGTGACTCACTCCTGTAATTCTAGCTACTCAGGAGGGTCAAGGCTCAAAGCTGGCCCAGGACAAATAGTTTACAAGACTCTATTTCAAAAATACCCAATACAAGAAAGGGCCGGCAAAAGGGCTGGCAGAATTGCTCAAATGGGAGGGTGCCTGCCTAGCAAACCTGAGGCCCTGAATTCAAACCCCAGTACCACATAAATACATACATAAATAAATAAAATATCCTAAGGAGATAAAATTGAGTGACTGCAGTTTTACCTTTTTGAGTGACAATTTTTTAAAAGTCTGATAATACAACTGTTGGTGAAAATGAGGAATAACAGGCCGAAGTGGAAACTGATGTCACCCTCAGGAGGCTAGCGCCATAGCTACACAACACATCAACATTTAAACACAAAATTCAATTCTAGGATTTAAACATTTAGAAGTCTTGTCAAATATTTCTTGTTAGTAATTCCTCTATAATGGAAAATGTGGCACATTAAAAAGAGTATTCAACATGACTTGATGAGGTCAACCCCAGAGATGCAAGGATGGCTCAGACCACACGAATTCATAAACCCTGTGTGTCACATCAACAGAGCAACTGACAAAATCCCTGTGATTTTCCAATAGATGCAGGCATGTGACAAAGTTCAACATCCTTTCATGATGGAAACACTGACAAACAGGTAAAGAAGAGCATAACCTCAATAAAATAAGGACCACAGACAATAAGCCCACACCTAATGCTATTCTAAATGGGGAAGAGCTGAAAGCTTTTTCTCTAAGATCAGGAACAAGGCAAAGATCCCCACTTTCCCCACCTTTATTTAACATGGCATTGGGAATCCTAGCCAGAGTCACCAGGCAATGGAAAGAAATAAAGAGCATCCAACTTGCATAGGAGAAAGTCAAATTATCACTGTGTGCAGATGACATGATCTTATATACAGAAAATCCCAAAGATTCTACCCAAAATATCAGAATAAAAGAGTTCAGCAAAGTTGTAAGATACAAAATCTACATACAAAATCAGTAACATTTAGCAAATTGTTTGATAAATCAAGAAAGCAGTAATAGTTACAATAACTACAAAAAGTAGAAATAAGTTTAACCAGTGATTTTTAAAAACATTTTTGCATTTAAAGTTATAAAACACTGACAAAAGGAATTTCAGAGGACCCCTGAATGACATTGTTCGATCATTTTATTACACCTAAAGTTTTAAAATTCTTATAACTGGTATTAAATATTGACATAAATTTTGTAACATATGTCATTTGTAACTTCTAATGTTGAGCTGCCTGTATTATTGTCCTGATATTCTTCAGCTACTTGGATAACACTGAGGAAGATGCAGACACACAGGTGCCTGTTCTCAGTTTGCCTGTGACTGCAGGAGTGGGGTTTGATTCTCACTGGGGAGTTTGGAGGAGCGGAGGCCTTCCTCAGGTCAATGCCCACCCAGCATGCGAATTCCTGAGGGAGTCCGAACACGCTGTGGGAAGACAGGCACAGAGAAGCATTTCCCGGGTCTTGGGACAAGATCAAATATGGCTCTAGGGACAGGGTTAGAGGGTGCGAGATGTAAAGAGAGGAGAGCCCAGCCTGTCACACAGGAGGAGATAGCATTCCTGTTGGTGAGGGAGGGAAAAATATGGAAAAGTTGGTAAACTATCAAGGAAGCCATCAGCACCACGGGGGGTAGACCTCCTGGGGACCAAAAGCCACCCAGCACTGGAAAGGAGAAATACTTAGAATTCATGCCCTGAACCAGGTGGAGGAGGCAGAGGTGGCCTTCCACGCAGTGCTGACCATAAGTGACTCGCTAACCATTCTGGCGTTTCAGAACTTTCTTAACTTTCTTAACTAAAGGAGGATATGATTCTGTAAGAGTTTGTAGTCCTACCTGGGAATAGCCAGGTATGGAATGCAGTAATGGGAAAGCACTTGTGGTTATCCTTTCAGTACTTTTACTGACCCAGTAGTGTCATAAACAATCCCCAAGGTGTTAACCCTGTGTTCTGCCCAAAGAGTTTTTCCACATTACTGAAGGTGAGCATTGGAAGTATTAAACTAAAATTGAACAAATTTTGTTTTGCTTAAAAAATATTTTCTGAGATGTAAATAAGTCCTTGCTTTCCAAACCACTCTCAGTAGAGGACCATCAGTTCCTTCAAAACCTGGAATAATGTGACCCAGCATCTCCAGTGTGAAAGTCAGCCTCTCCAGCACTCAGCATGGAGTTCTAACACTCACTAGTTGTTTGACTTTGCTCAGCCTCTCTGCCTACTCTGTCATCTAGTATGTAGATAGGAGGCTAGCTACTCGCCAAAAGTTTGTAAGACTTAATAATATCTTTAAAACACATGACCTATAGTTAACATTCAAAGAAAAGATTTACTGAATTAATGAAACCCAGAACATAAAACATCACTCTTCACCCCTGGTGACCTCTGATTCTCACCTGGTCACAGAGGGACACTGGAGATTTTTGAACTCCCTCTGAAACACTGAATGCATCCCACACATACCTTTGCTTTGGGCCTACTCTCTTACTTTCTACACGATTCCTAGGTTCCTCATCTATAACCCATGATAGTTGTGCAGATTCAAAAACATTTCCTGCTTCCCAGGTCAAGCTGCTCTTTGATGGCTGGAACTGAGAGGACCTGAGACTCTGGCAAAAGCATCCTCCTGCAGCTGGTCAAGTTACCAGTTTTCATTAACAAAGTACTCAGGCATTACACTCATTTCATTATTAATTTAGGCTGAATTATAATAGTTTATATTTAAGTAATTTCCAATTTCATTAGAAGATATAAGTGATAATAAGCTTTGATGAGTGATGGCTGATGAAAAATGTTTTAAAAGTTATTGCATTAGTGTGTTATGTCCTTGCCAGCTTATTTAAAAGACTAGGTAACTCATGGAGCATTCATGTTTTCTTCTTATGGAAGTGTTTCTTTACTGAACCAAGAGTACTTATTGGGAAACTCATAAAATGTCTAGCACATACTTGCCTACAATCACCACCACTAATGGGTGGATCAGTAACCTGGCTTCATCAGAGGCCAGTGGCCTCTCAGCTCTGCACAGGAGCTCTCGCAGAGCCTGCACCTTACGGCCAGTGCTATACATCACTGCCGTATCACTCACTGCCTTCATAGGGAAGGGAAGGATTCAATGCCATGCAAATGCTGAGATGTGTAAGTAAAGCACCGAAGCTTCAAAGTAGTTCAAAGTTGTATTTTTTATTAATCTCAACCTTGGTTTCTCACAAACCCCTCTTCCCACCAGAGTGACACCAGGCCATTTCCTCAGCACTCAAGCACCTGCTGCACATGAAGAAGGAGAATGAGCGGCAGGGCTGGTCAAGCAGGACTGCAGGGAGCCAGCTGGGGCCAAGTGATAGGGGACACAGACGTATGCCTCTAGAGGAGGAGACTTCCAGTGAGCCCAGCCCCAGGGCATGACTCAAACAAATCTGTTGGTCTTGATGTGCTCTGTGTGGATCTTTTGACCTGGCCAAATCCAGCCACAGTACACCTCTGTTTCTCCTCTCCAGGGAGGGAGAGACTGGTCTGTGTGAGTTTGGGCTTGGAACTGGACACTCACAGCACAGCCTTCTACTCTCAGGAACAGGGTCTCCCGAGGAAGCTCATATCTTCAATAGATCTTGGTTGCAGGATAAGCTTATTCATGAGGTGGGGGACCCCAGTTGAGAAATCCCCTAAGTTGGGTGACTAACAGTACTCCCTAAAACTCAGGGCATGGGTCAAAATTTGGGGCCAAGTTTTTGGAAATTCACTCACTTGCAAAATATTCCACTTTCTCCAAAAATAGTCACCCATAAATGAGTCAGTCATTGGAGCCATTCTTTTTGAGTTCATATTTTTCAATTCATTCAGAATACAGGTGATGAAAAAGAAAACAATTGGGCCCTCCAAAAACTGCAAAATTCTCCTTTATCTACTCTCAGGTGGGTCATTAATTGATAAAACATTTATTACATGTACTGTTATTCAGATAAATAAATACAAAGTAAGTCACTTTGTCTTCGGCACTTGCTATGTTCCAGGAAATGTGCTAAGGATTTTGATCCATTTGTTCATAACAAACTTAAAAGTTGAGAATTAATATTCCCATTTAAGGAAACAAATATTAAACTCAGAGATGTTCCTAACATTGTAGAATAAGTTATAGCAGCTAAGGTTCCAGCTCAGGTGTGTATAGCTCCAACACCATGCCCTTCCCATGCCATCCTAGCTCTTCCTGTCCAGGGGGACAGTGAGTTACCCATAGGATCCAGTGATGGGGGCTTAGACCATGGGATAGGCAGTGGAATGGGAAAAGAAAAGGCTCACAGAGGACCAA